ATGTACAGTTTATTTGATTGAGTTGTAACGTATCAGTTACTGTGTCATCAATACCTGGAGGGTCTGATGTTGTTTCTGGATTAGATTGTACTTGATTGATTTGTCTTTGATGTTTAGGTGTACTACTTCTGTGGCGATTATTAGAATTATTATAGTTATTATTATTTCGGTGTGGTGATTGGGAATAATTTCTATAACGATTATTATAACTTGGGTGTCGATTTTGTGAATTATTTCGCGATCTGTTTTGGTAATTTTTGTTTGGTCTGTTATAGTTCGATCTATTATATGAGTTATTCCTTGATCGATTGTTCGGGTAATTCTGGTTTCGGTTGTTTGAATAACTTCTATTTCTATTATAGGAGTAGTTTCTATTCCTATTGTATGATGAATTTCGTGATTGGTTGTTTGGATAGTAGTTATTTCTTGATTGGGAATTAGATCTAGAAACAAATCGTTGTGTATTTGAATTTGATCTGGAGTAGTTATTTCTACTATTTGGTCTATTGTAGTGATTTTGTGATGAATTTTGTGTATTTCTTCGTTCTGGTGATCTTCCTCTATAACTTGAGTTATATGGGGATTGATTTCTTGTATAACTTGTATTGTTCGGAAGTGGCTTTCCTGAACTGTTGTTGCTGTATACATTTTTGTTTGGTAGATTTTGATCTTTTTTCATGTATTGATAGAATGATTTATTTGGTTCTTTGTATTTTTGAGGTTTATTTTGACTATCTTGCTGTTTTTGTCTACATTCGGAAATACTATGTCCGTATCGTCGGCAATAATTACACCATTTTTTGAAAGATGGTTTGCCTTTGAAGTTTGGGTTCTTTTCATAAATATTGAGTATTTCAGTGATTTTTTCAACGAGGTCTGTCTCTGATTCCTGTATATTATTAATATTAGTGGGAGTCGTTTCAATTTTGTTAACGTATTGTAATTTCAGATTTTCCGTTTCTTCTAGTTTCATCGTGATTTCTGCTTGTTCTAATTTGTCTACTAGTTTTCGAAAATCTAAATCGGGTTCTCGAATTGAAGAAGGATGGGATGCTCTCTTTTTTATTGCTATTTTCCTTAATTGTGGTGTTAAGGTCATCATTAAGATTTCTGTCATCTTTGTGTTTTTATAGTCATGTGTATTTAGTGAGTATGCTTTTCGAACTAGTGTTTCGATTCGTACTGCTATTTGCTTGATGGTTTCGTTTGGTAATCTGCGAATTTCATTACATAAAACTCTTTGTTGTTGTTTGTTTCTTTCGGAGTCAAACATTTTTGAAAATTCTTGTGTAAATCTTTTCCAGTTTGATTTTATTTCTAGAGGTAGTACTGAAAACCATTTTTGGGCTGCGCCATCTAAGGTTGTTTGTATCAACGCTGTGCGTCGATGTATCCAGTTTTGATGTAGTGGCGTATTAATTGGTTCAGGTCCAATGTTTAAAATCAGGTTTGCTGTTACTGCATTTAAATAATCTTCTACAGAATATTCAGGGTCTGTTCCTGTGAAAACCATTAAAGGTTTGTTTGATGTTATTGATGATCCACCCATAAGGTATGGATTCATTGTCATTTGTAATGATTCTGCTGCATTTGGCATTTGAGAAAAATTTGAAAGTTGGTTTCTTGTTATTTCATGTTGTTGAAGATAATATGGGAGTGGTATTTCATTTTGCATTTGTGATGGTTGATACGAGTGTGCAGTCATTGGATTTTGTTGTTGAATTGGTTGAAAAGATTGTGTATTAATTGGATTTTGTTGTTGAATTGGTTGTTGATGTTGTGCATCTATTGGTTGTGGAGAAAAATTCCTATGATTTGTACGTGTTTTCTGTATTCCTTGTCTACGATATTCTTGAGTATTTTGTGCAAATATATCTGGTTGTAAAAAATCATCATCTGAGGATAAATAATCCATTTGATAAGATGTTTGTTTTTTATTTTTATTTTGTTGAAAAAATGGGTAATTTTCACTGCGATCCTGTGGAGGATTTGGTTGAAAATTTTTGGAATTATATTGGGCCGTTGGGTTATCCCAGTTTCGAGGTTTTGTATATTGATTAAAATTCCTTTGTGGTTGATAATTTGTTTTTGACGGATGTGTATAATTATAATTATGGTCTGCAAAGTTGTTTCTAGTGAATGTTTTGCGTGTTTTTGATGGTATTGTCATGGGTCTGTATGTTTGGTAATCCATATGTGAATATTTAGGGGCAACCGAAGGTTTAACGGTTGATTGTAAGGTTACCTGTGTTTGTGAAGGATTTGTATTTCTTGGTGTTGTTAAATTTGGGCGTATTGGTGAAATACTTTGTTGTGTAGTTGTTGTGTGTACAATTTCTTCATTTATGAAGTGTGATGGTGTCTGGATATCTTGTTGAGTAAGATTCCTAGTTCCATTGAGGTTTTCGTTGTGTATGACTGTAGAGTTTAAACTATTATTTTGTGTATCGGGTAAAAATGTATTATAGTTTAATGGTGTTGCATCAATTGTTAATGGTATTACTCTTACATAGTCTCTTATGTAAGATATCGTACTTATTGCTTGACTTGAGATTGATTGTGGGAAGCTTATAAATGCGGGATGAGACCATTCGGGGTCCCAAACATAATCTGATTGTTCTGTGATAGCGGTATCATCGTTCGAGTTTTGGGGTCTAAAATTTTTTCTTGCTTGTGCAATTAAATCAATATTATGTGTGAAATAATCTATTATGAACCATGCCAAGATTTTTTGTAAATCGTGTTTTGTATGTTGTGAAACGTCGTCGTTCGTGAAATTTTCTTTAATGATGTTTAAATAACTAGAGAGTAGTGTGATTTCATGTCGTACTCTTAAATGTTTAGATGTTTCTGTCGGTGAGACATTTGTTAATGGGAGTTCATTTTCTAATATCGAAATATAACTATATATTATTGCGAAAACTTCATTGGTGAAAATGGAGTTTGCTCTTTGTGAGTTATGGTATTGGATGCTTTTTATATATTCTGAAAAAACTTTTGAAAATTCTAAATCAAGATCGTCTGTTTGAATAGTATATGTTCTATTATTATGGTTTGGGGAAGTGAATTCTATAGAGTAGATTCCATACTGTTGTGTTATGTTGCATATATCTTTTAGATAGTGATCTATGATTTGTCTTTTGATTTTTACATCGGGAAACTCTGTTTTACATGGACTAATTCCGGGTTCAAATAAATTTACGAGTAAATTTTGACAAAATATGTGTTGTCCTCTATCAGTATCTGCGTCTACTATAAAAGGAAAGATTTCATCATCATCTGGAGTTTCTTCACCTGGAGTGTGCGTTGAGCTCATTTTTTCGTTCGATGACTGTTAATATGTAATTATTAATGTGTCGAATTGGTTGATTCCAATTGTATAGATGTACTGGTTTGTGTTTGTACTGTTTTTTTATTCTTCTTTTTCCTCTTTGTGATGAATTTGAAGTTGTTTCTGAGTCAGAAAAATATAATTGATCGTGAAGTGGGTAATTTTTATCTATTGATTCTTTTAGTTTGTAAAGTTCGTCTAAACTGTTGGTTTCTGATTCTGAAAATGCGTTTCGATTTTTTGAAAATCTTTTTCGTGTTATTTGTCTTTGTTTAGTTATTATTTTCCTCTTTAGTGTTTGTCGTTTTGTTCGAATGTATCCAACTGTTTGTGTATGAGGTGTGATTACAAGGTCGTATTTTTTGTTATCTATTTCACAATTGTGTAAAACGATTGTTTGTTTATTTCCTAGGTTTTTAAATGACATAAGGTTTAGAATGACGGATGCAAAGGGTTGTTAAATGATTTCTATTTTCCTAAACTGTTAGTTCTTACGATTTTTTGGTTAGCTTAACCTGGGTCTATTTGTTCAGGGTTGGAGAGAAAAGTATATCGATTCCGAAGAATGATTTTTACTTTCTCGTGACTAGTATAAGCTAAGGTGTTAACTTACTTAATCTTACTTAGGGGTAGTGATTGTGTTCAAGGGTTGGAGAATAGTAAATCGATCCACAAGGTTCAGGTATAATTAGAACGCGAGTAGTTCGTTAGATACTATTTTAAACTTACTAAGTCTAAGATTTATCCTGGGTCTGGTAAGAGGGGGGTCAAGTGAAGGATGAATAACCGACTTCTTCACTATTTATCCTAATTTGAATGATTAGTTTTGTTTAAAAATTTCTATTAGTCTTGGGTCTTTAGAAAGGGTTGGGTAGTGAATCGACGTTTGAGGTCGTTAGACACTAATTAAGTGGGTGGGGGAGAACAAAGTTGTTCTGTTTGATCCAAGGATAAGCCTTGATGATCAAGTTTGAAATTTAATTAAGTAGAAAATGATTTAAGATCCAAGGATAAGCCTTGATGATCTGATTTTAAATTAAGTGACTTTAAGTTTTAATAAAGTTTTAAATTTGTGTAAAGGAAAGATTTAGTGTTTTATGATGTTAGTGAGTTGATGATTGCTGTTATGTTTTAGGTGATGAAGCTGGAACAACAGGATGATTTATGATTACTAACCATTTATTGTCATGCTACTAATTTTTATTTTTATTTTCCAATAAATATTTTTCAAACATGTTTTGTATAATACTGCAGAGTTTTAGGAAAACGATCTTAGATCTTTTTATCAATCGTTATTGTATAATATTAATTTTGTTTAGCGCCTGAAATGATTTTGAAGAGTAACTTCAAGGTTTTATGTTTGCAAATGGAAATCTAAATTCATTGCAAGTAGTATTCGAAATATAAAAGTTTGTTCTGGCTTTTGCCGAACTATCATATAACTATACGGCAAGTTTCTACTTTGTCGTATGTCGTCTTTGGTTCGAGGTCTTCTTCCAATTCCGGGTAGTTCTGTTATGGTTCGGAATATTGGCTCTACTTGCACAGCATCCGGTATCCTTGTTGAAGTTTTTTTTTGCCATTACTATGTAAATGCTGTATTTGAGTTACGACAATTTTTGATCTTGCTGAACAAATTAACTTATTTAAGGCACTCTGAGTTTCGAACCTGTGGCGTGGAAATCGTTTGGCAAAGAGAGTTCTAATTTTGTACATGCGAAGAACAACCCCTCAAATGGAGTTTTCACCTTCTCGATCTCGTACCACTTTCCAACCAGACTCGTCATGTTCACATTTTTAACTCCGTAAAATGCAGGACAGTTTAATCGATTACGGCAGAAGGATGTGTGGAAAAACACGCATAATAAAAGAACGGTAAATTTTTTCGTCATTGACCTGAAATGCTAATTTTAAGGCAAAAATAATTTTATTTGAAATTGACAGTTTTTCTGAACTCAATACTCCTGGTTATGTTATTATTTGTAATGTCAGTTAGCAAAATTCAATATTTATCTGAGCCATCTTCATAATCAGATTGACGAATCGAATTAATAAGGTTGCAATTGGCGTGTGTATATAAAATATCATAGTACAAGCAAGCACAGTCATTTATTTACCTCATGCAATACGCAATAATTGAAAACGCCTCCATCGTCAATTGATTTAATTCAAACACAAGTACTCATCAATTGACGATGAATGTTTATGCAAACAAAATTTAAATAACTCCTCAGAATTTAAAACATTAACAAGACTGCTCGTATCAGGGCGAGATCTTGAACGTTCCGACTGCCTTTTAGGGTCTGTGCACCAGTAATTACTAGAAAAAATTCAATGTAATAAAAAAAAGAAAAAAATTAAAATTTGAGATTTTTGTGAAAATCAATCCGCCAGACGCCATAAAAAATCAAAAGGATGAATTTCGCTCCTTGTAACAAATTAATTATGGCGTATAAGCTTCTTTCAACCATCTTGGAACGTTTTCTAGAACGGATTAAAACTCCGCTTACGCGTTAATAGCGCGAAAAATATCCCGCGTTATTTGCATTACGAGGCCAAATTGTGCATTGACAGGTTCCAAAATGTAAGTGGATTCCACTTACCTTACAAAAGTTTCGTGGATTCCGCGTACAAATACCTGTAAAGTAAAATTTGTTGGCGCATTTGTTTTGTTGTGGATTCCGCAACAAGCATATATAGCTAGTTGTTCTGGATTCCACAACTGTGAGTGGATTCGGCAAAATGTGAGTAAAATCCGCAAAATGTAAGTGAAATACAAAATTTTAAGTGGAACCCGCAAACAAAATACGGATTCTACTTACAATTTGCGGATTCCACTACAATTTACGGATTCCCTTAAAATTTGCGGATTCCGCTTACAGTTGCGGATTCCGCAACAGCTTAATGCAACTATACACATGTCTTATCATTTGTTTGTGGATTCCACAAACTGTTCTGGATCCGCAAATACAGTTGCGGATTCCGCAAATTTGTCTATTTTTGGAGCAATTTTGAGCGGTACAATGTTTCGAGTATTTGTTTGTGGAATCCAAAACAGCAAAGAAGATCAAAGAAAAGTAGCAATATTGCGGATTCCGGGACAAATCTGATTTTGGTTTGTGGCGGAACCCGTTTACAATGCACAGAATGCACAGTTTGGCCTCGTAATGTGTTCCAAATTGGCCAAAATGGCAATCTTCAAACCCCCATAACTTTACAAAAAATGATCACAGGGCTCAGGACAACATCACCTTTCGAATGATATATTTTAAAATTCTGTCAAAAATGGCTAGTGAAACAGTCGAAATTTGTCTGAATAAAAAAAACCCACCCCGAGCACAAATGTTCCGTTACTTTCGTTACAAAATTTGGACCAACAATATTTTAGCTTTATAAGTTCTGAGGAGTTATTCAAATTTGTCACTCGAAAACTTTCAGCTTATTTTTTTCAAGCAAGCTCCCGGGTTGACAATAAAAGCCTATCATGAAAAAGATGCTTATCATACTATTTCATACAACTTCATAGACCAAAAAAATAATTGGAAATAAAATTATAAACGTTTTTTCTTACTATGAAATTTAAAACAAGCATTTTTTGCCACTTTGAGCAATGGTTGTCCAACATGGTTTTGTTTTGTCCGATGGTTCATTCTGAAACTAGCTACTAGTTGGCGGTAATTATAATGCATTTGTAAAAGCTATTCTTTTATTAGTAAGCTTTTGATACAAATTTTAAAAACTTTTCAGCTCAATTCTGTTTCGGATTCCAATAAATGACTTTCTTTAGGCAGAGCAAGTTCTTAGTTTTGATCCGAAAAAACGTTCGTTCCAAAGCTCAGTTCAAAGACCGCAATTCATTTTATTGACAATAGAGTCAAGCAACAAATGCTTACCATAATCTTCCTCTCTCGGTATGAATAATTTTTGTTTTCTTGGTTGATCTTGTTTTTCACAGTTCTTGGTTGATTACATTTTCTTGATATCACTCATTCGTTTGTTTTTGTTTCTTGGGAATAATTCGAAATTTCCTTGTTTCGTTTTCGAAAATTGTTCCGGAACTTACAAATTGGTGCTATTTTTAAGAAAATCCAAAAAGAAACTTGTTTTGCTTTTCTGTCTTTCGTTGAAGCGGTCAAAATAAATCTCAACAATTTGCTTTTCTATAATTTTCATGGGTTCAGCTTCAAGCAGGGGAGGGGATTTAGCAAACCAAATTTAGTAAACCAAATTTACAAGACCAAAGACTAGAGCTTCCCGTGAACTCTTGCCCCTTTAATTTTTTTTTTTAAATACATCGTTAGCGAAACACAGATAATTCCATCAGAAAGTTCATAGATAATTTGTGAAGAGGAATCTTGATGATTTCAGGATAGTTTTTTGCCGTGGATTTCACTTCAATCAAGTATTGAAACAGTTTTTTCGATTCCATAGAACACTCGAACTTGAGCTATTATAGGGAGCTTCCTATGTTTTCACCACTTTTCGCTGGATATCACCCAATTCCGCGTTTTTACCACACGTCAATCAACAGTTTTTCTTTGAAATCCAATTAACAAAATATTTAACACAGATCCTCAACTTGTATAGCAATCTTAAGTAGGGTCCGAACAGCGGTTTTCTGCAAAGATCACAACGACCTGTACGTTGGTTCTTTCCCTGATCATTGAATGGTCTCAAATATAGCAGAAACTGTCACTGCAAGTACCTGGAGCAGGCAATGACTGAGTTTAATAGTGGTTGCCTTTGAGTCAGGACTCAAGATTTTTGATCATTGTTGTAAATTAAACTTTTTCCTCCCTTGTCCCTTGCCCCACTCCAGAGAACAAGGGACAGAGAGAGAGAGAGAGAGAGAGGAGAGAGATAGAGAGAGAGAAAGAGAGAGAAAGAGAGAGAGAGAGAGAGAGATGAGAGAGAGAGAGAGAGGAGAGAGGGATATAAATAGAGAGAGAAAGAGATAAATTTAAGCAGGAGCTCTCAGCATAAAAAGGAAACAAGACTGTCCGTATCAGGGTAAACCCTGAATGTTCCGACTACCCAATAATTTGTCTCGAATTATTTTTGATGTATGAAATATTGACAAAATACAAAGATTAGGTTGATAATATTTAAGTGTTAAAATTTGAGTCGTCTATAGAATTAATAGGACCAATTAGCTTGCCTCAATTCAATTTCGAACAATTATCAGTGCGGATACTTTGCCATGCATAAATAGTTCGCGCATTAAAACAAACTACCAAAGTATTATTCCAGCAGTAAACCCGCATTTTAGGCAAGAGCAACCATACTCCTCGCTTGTCAATCACATGATTTCCTGATCGATGCCCATAAGCAGTCAGCTTTTCATAATTGGCCTGAAAAAACCATGCCAGGCATATATATTCTTCACTTTCTTCGAAAGTCGGAATAACAACCGACTACGTTTTGCAAAGCTTGCTTTTTATGCTGAGTCTGCGCAGTTTAACTTAGAGATGATACAATTGTGTCAGTTACACGTAAAAATTTGGCCCATTAGGATCGTTGGTGTTCCGACTTTCGATGGAAACGGATTATTTATGCGTGATGTGTTTTTTTTTCAGCAATTTTTGGCAATTTAAATCATATTTTTAAACAAACATTCAAAATACCCCATTCAAGATATTCACTCCCTGAAATCAAATGTGAAAACTCATATTACCTCCAATCGTTTTTTCAAAGTTTTGGGAGTTTAAAAATTGCCAAGTTGGCCATACTCTGGACTAGTTTATGCGCGCACTGTAGATTTCATCCCTAACCCTGAAAGCGTAAAGCAGATTATTTATGCGTAGCGAGTTATCGCGCACAACAAAATCATGGCAAATTGAATTGAGGCTAGCTAATCGCTCATATTAATTTCATATCACTAAATTTTTCACACTTGATCTTTGACATTGTCCAAAATTTAGTTTTTCAATATTTTCTTTTACCAAAAAGTATTCGATAAGGATTAGGGGGCAGTCGGAGCATTCAAGGTTTTGCCCTGGTATACGGGCAGTCTTGTTAATACATAACAACAAGCCATTTTTCATTTGATTTTTCGCCGATACATTTTTTCTTTCGCTGCTTAAGCCCGTCTTATCCGACTGCTTTCACGGTTTTTTTTGGTAGATTTTTATCACAAAATTACTACAGAGATTTAATTTTTATCACAAAATTACAACTGAGATTTAATTTTTTCATATGGTATGAGTGATTTTCTTCCATGACTGTTATTCGAAATTAGTCAAACCTCTGAACTTACCGTAATGTTTACGATCAAAATCTGTGAAGTAAAGTACATGAATATAGATATTGCTTGTCATGTCCTACGTAGTCTGCTTGCAACAATTTTTTAAAACAATTGCACAAGTTGAGCAAAAATGTTTGGTAAAATTTAAAGGTGAAAGGGGAAAGGAGAAAGAGCCGACCAACCTTCCCATAAGTAGGGTTGCTGTTTTTTTAATAGCAGCTTAACCTGGGTTGCAGTTTTGCATATACGTTCGCAAAACACAACACGTTTTTGAAGCCTTTTATAAATCTGCTTTCTTGGTTTAACCAAATTAATAGGTAGATTTTTAACAAAAAAAATCTACTACAGATTTTTTTTGATTTTTTTTGCATGGTTACTTTCTTCTATGACAGTGAGTAATAATTAGGAGAGCCATCAAATATGCCACTAAATTAGAAACTTTTTTATTATCAAATTTTTCATAAGTCAAACAAGACTACTCGTATCACGGCCAAACCCTAAATGTTCCGACTGCTTTTTATTTTTATAGACTTACTAGTTTAAATTAAAATAATTGACAAAAATTGGCTAAATTGGCAATCTTTAAACCCCCATAATATTATAAAAAATGATCACAGGTCAAATAACTGTATGAAATTGAACTTAAGAAAACAGTATATTTCGAATGATTAAAAAAATTGTCAAAAATTGAAATTAAAAAGTCCAAATTTTTCTTTAGAAAAAAAACACCCCGAGACAAATATTCTGTCATTTTCTTCGTAAATAGTCGGAACAATAAAATGATGCAACAATCCACTCATTTAGAGTTGC